ACCATGATAAAAAAAGGTGAAAAAACATCTTAGAACACAAAGAGTACCTTAATGTAAGCTAGAGACTTTAGTTAGTAATAATGTGTGAATATTTATTCACCAATTGTAACAAATGCATTACCCTAATACAAGATGTTAATATTAGGGGGAACCATGCTGGGGATGGAGGCATATGGAAGCTCTCTGGAGTTTCCACTTAATTTTCCTATAACCCTAAAACTGCTGTAAAAACAAAATCTATTAATGTTTTAAAATCCATGCCAAAAAAAGTACACACAGAATGATTTCATTTATATAAAGAACAAAACTAGTGTAAGCTCTTAGCAGTTGGGGTCATGGTTACCCTGGAGGGTGCTGACAATGTTCTGAATCTTGATCTGAGGCTGGTTACATGGCTTTGTTAAAACTGTCAAAATTCATCAAACTGTGCACATATCTGCATTTTTTATACCTTGTAATTTAATAAAAAGTTTTTAGAAAATCTTAAAAATAATGAGATAGTCTCTCACATAGAATTCCAAACGACTCCGTCCTCCAGGGAGGGGAGTAGAACTCCCACTCCTTAGGTGTGGGCTATGCATAGTGACTTCCTTCCAAAGAGCACAGAATGGAAAGGGGAGAAAGGAGTCACCTCATTGTGGAGAAGCCTGGTAAACACTACTTCCACCACCTGATCAAGGCCAATATCAATCGTCCTAAGTTAGGTTGACAGTATGTACCCTAGACATGATGTGATGAAAATGACACTTTACTTCTGTGGTCTTCCTACCAATAACCCATAACCTCAGCCTTACCATGAGAGAAACAACAGACAAATTGCAACAGTGGGACATCCCACAAAATACCCAACCAGTACTGAAAACTGTCCAGGTCATCAAAAAAGGATTGTCTGAGAAACATCAAAACCTAGGGGCTGGGGGGCAGGGTGGGGGGGGAGTGGAGAGGGGGGGGCTAAAGCAACATGATAATTTAATGTAATGTGCTATCTGCTTGGTGGGATCCTGGAACAGAAAAGGTCATTAGGTAAAAACTAAGGAAATATGAATAAACAATGAATTTAGTTAGTTAAAATGAGAGAGAGAGAGGTGAAGGAGAGATAGTAAATTTTTTAAAGTTTTTTATTTTTATTTTTCAATTACCATTGACATACACTATTACATTAGCTTCAGGTGTACAATACAGTGATTAGACATTATATAACTTACCAGGTGATCAACCTAATAATTCTAAAATACACCTGATACCATACATCCTATATAATAAAAGGGTAATATGCAAATTGGCCCTAACAGCAGAATGACTGGGAATGACTGGTCACTATGACACACACTGACCACCAGGGGGCAGATGCTCAATACAGGAGCTGCTCCCTGGTGGTCAGTACGTTCCCACAGGGGGAGCTCTGCTCAGCCACAAGCCAGGCTGACGGCTGCCAGCACAGTGGTGGTGGTGGGAGCCTCTCCTGCCTCCTCAGCAGCGCTAAGGATGTCCGACTGCAGCTTAGGCCTGCTCCCCGCTGGCAAGTGGACATCCCCTGAGGGCTCCCAGGCTTCTAGAGGGAAGTCTGACTGCCAGCTTAGGCCCAATCCCCCGGGGAGCCGGCCTAAGCCAGCAGGTAGACATCCCCTGAGGGGTCCCAGACTGCGAGAGGGCACAGGCCGGGCTGAGGGACCCCCTGAGTGCACAAATTTTGGCGCCCCGGGCCACTAGTAGTTATTATAATACTAGAGGCCCGGTGCATGAAATTCGTGCACGGGAAGGTGGGGGTCCCTCAGCCCGGCCTGCAATGATGCCAGTGTCCCACACCAGGCCTCTGGCCAGAGGCCCCTGCCTCCACACAACCAGGGCGTGGGATGCTGTGCCCCCGACCCCTCCCTCCATGCAACTAGGACGCGGGATGCTGGGCTCGTGTCGCTGGTGGTGATTATGAGCCCAGCACCCTGTGCCCTGGCCTCTGGCCAGAGGCCCCTCCCTCCACGTGGCCAGGGGTGCGGGACACTGGGCTCGCATCACCAGGGTGCTGCCGCCAGTGTCCCCCCTCTCACACACCCCTCCCCCCTGCTGCTATGGGCACTGCCATCTTTGTCATGGATTGATGGTTAATTTGCATATTACACTTTTATTAGATAGGATTACTAGGGGCCCACTGCATAAATTTGTGCACCTTGAAAGGAATTGTGGGCCACAAGGCTGCGTTGGGCACAGGGGTGGGTCTCAGCCCATCCTCTGTGCCCCCACCTGGCCCCTCCCGCTGCAGCCCATGGTCCCCTGTCTACCAGCAGCTCTGCTCCCGCTGCCGCCGCTGCTCCCACACACTGACAGCGTGGGCCCCACTCACATCCACTGACAGCACGAAGCGATTGGGGCTGGCACCAGCAGTGGGTGTGAGTGGGGCCGGCACTGTCAGCGGTGCAAGCTGAGGCTGCTGCCCTGATCACCCCTCAGAAGAAGGGGGAGGTGGGGAAGCCCTCAGGGGCAATTGGGGCCAGCAGCAGGTGGGAGCGGTGGCTCCGGCACCGGTAGCAGGTGCGAGTGCTGGGCAGGACTGTGGCACACAGGAGCAAAGAATTTTCAGTAACCACCAGAGGCTCACCCCGATGACAGCAACCAGTGCCCCACCTGGTCTGGCACCCCGATTCACCTGCTCCACCATCCCGCTGCGGCTGACACCCACCATGTTCTGCGTGTGCCTCCTGGTGGTCAGTGCATGTCATATCGTCCAGTTGTTTGGTTGTTGGGGTTGTTCTGCCATTCGGTCTATTTGCATATTAGGGTTTTATATACATACTAGGGGCCCAGTGCACGGATTCGTGCACCTTGAAAGGAACTGTGGGCTGCAAGGCTATGGTAGGCAATGGGCTGGGTCTTGGCCCATCCTCTGTGCCTGCACCTGCCCCTCCTGCCACGGCCCCTGGTCACCTGTCTGTTGGCAGCCCCACTCCTGCTGCCTCCACTCCCACATGCTGATGGTGCCGGCCCTGCTCACACACGCTGACAGCGTGAAATGATTGGGGCTGGCTCCAGCAGTGGATGTGAGTGGGGCTGGCGCCGTCAGTGGTGCAAACTGTGCTGACCTCTTGCTTGCCCTCAGCTCATTCCCACAGGGCCTGCCCTATAGTCTGTCACTGCTGGTGACCCCTTCTGCAGTGAAGTCTCATTCATGCAGCTGAAGTCCAGTTCCCTTTGGCATGAGTCTCCCATCAGGAGACTCACATCCTGATAAGCTACCCAGTTCTGGCCATGTAGGCTGCCTTCCGCTACCCTCACCTTCACATGTTGTTCCATGCAGTCTCTATGTTCACATATTTCCAATTCCAGGGATATGTGTCAAGCTGGAGCAGAGTGTATCATTCAGAGCACATTCTTCTAAAGCAGTGGTTCTCAACCTTTCTAATGCCGCGACCCTTTAATACAGTTCCTCATGTTGTGGTGACCCCCAACCATAAAATTATTTTTGTTGCTACTTCATAACTGTAATTTTGCTACTGTTATGAATCGTAATGTAAATATCTGATATGCTATATGTGTTTTCCGATGGTCGCGACCCACAGGTTGAGAACTGCTGTTCTAAAGGTTGACTTCCCAACTCTAACGCTCTGTTAATGTAACTTCCTTATGCCTCCATTACCTCACTTAACATGATAATAGTATTAATTTCTATCCCACAGGATTACTGAGAATATGTTTTGTTAATACATATTAAGCTCTTAGAACAATGCTGGGCCCATAAGTATCCAGCGCTATAAAGTGTGTGCTAAGTACACATAGGCCACAGTGTCCCTCATCCGCATGCCACCCACTTGGACTCAGGGCCGGGGAGTCCCCTTCCAGCAGGCATTCCACTCTTAAAGTTTGGGCCTCCTGGGATTCCCTTCACTTGGCTTTGTGAGATGGGGAGGTGCCTCCTTCCTTCCCCAGGGGGAGGAGAGAACTGCTATGGGACTCCTTACCAAGCCACAGCCTTTCACCTAAATACAATGAACACCCACATACTTTCACAGACGTTCATGGAGACCTGGCATTTGTGATGTCTACTCTCTTTCTCCTTTCTATAGATATACAGGTAGATATACATTTTAAAACAGAATTCTTTAAAACTATGTTTCAGAAATCATGGCATTTTATCTTCAAACACCATAGTATTCATTAATCTACTAAGAAGTTCTAAAATATTCTCCCACATAATCATGATACTATGTTCAGACTGAAGAACATTAATTCCATAATATGTCATCTCCAGTTCTTGTTTGTGTGTCTTAAATTGTCCCAAAAATGTCTTTTGTAGCTTAAAAATATTTTTTAATTCAGGACTCAATTGAGGTTCACATATTGCATGTGGTTATGTCTCTTTAGTCTCTTTGCTTAGAAAAAGGCCCTTGCCCTTTTTTTAATGACATTGACCATTTTGAAGAGTGTAAGACAATTGCCACGAGGAACAGCCCACAGCATGAATTTTCTTAATTCAGTTTTACCATCTCTTACTGGGAGGGAGGAGGGTGAGGAGCCTCTCTTTAGAATGCCTCTCTTGTCATCTCTTGGTTTCAGAATAAGGACTTGGGCTGAAATTCAGAGGTGGCTGGAACACTCTTATTCCTTATCTGATTTTGCAGGTTGCTGGAAGAGTACTACAGAACACCCTTCTGAAGAGGAACAGTGAGCCTTCTGACTGGCCCGGACTCAGTGCCCAACAGGGTCCTTCACTATGGGCACAGTGGAAAGAAGGATGGACTAGTCCAGAGGCCTCTCACTTCCAGCACCCTGCCTTGTCCTCGAGAGAAATAATCTCCCCCAACCTGGGACCCTGAAAGGAGCTGGACATTCCTCCCCAGAGACACAGCATCTATCCTGAAGAGCTGTCCCTGGGCCTGGGTAGTAGGTGGAGCCAAGAGATCATCGTCTGATCCTTCCAACTTTATTCAGTGACATTGCTATCAGGTGACCAGGACAGCTGGGTCAATATAGGTGTTTATAAAAGGCACCAACACCTGGAGCCAGAAGCTCTGCACCAGTCCCCATAACCTTACGGATCTCAAGCACCTGCCTCTACAGGTACCATTCTTGGGCTCATTCCCAGTCTCTGGGACCCCCACCCCAACCATATATCTTGGGAACAGTGGAAGTGGAGGGGTGGGGGGGAACTTCGGTGAGGTATAGGAGGCCCGAGTTCTAGTCCTTGCTGCCTAGCTCCAGACCTCAGTTTCTCCATTTTTAAGTAAGCCATCTCTAAGGACCCTTAGTGTGATTGATGTGAAGAGATGGGGAGGTTCCCTCTGGCTGCAGTCCAACCTCAGCCTCCAAGATGGGTGGGGCATCTTAGGAGGAGGTAAACTTCTTGTTCTTGATAAAGACTACTCCGAGAGAGGGGAATTATAAGCCATTTGCATCAATCCTGGGACCTTGGCCCCTCTGTTTTGCTGGATAGGAACACCTCTCTATTTCCTGGGTATGAGGCAGTATCAGCAGGAAGCCAGCACTGGTGGGGCCCCTTTGACACAATGCTCAGCATACACCCTATGCTGGGGACTCGCAGGGGGTGCTTCCCCATTGTGAAGTGGCCACTTGCTTCTACCCCAGCCTCAGAATTGGAAATTGAGGTGACAGGAGAAGGGAAAGCTATGGCTGGGAATTCAGACACTTTCTAGCCTTTAGGTTCTGTGATGCACTAAGGGTGAGCTCCTGGCATGCAGAATCCATGGTACATGTAACAGTCTTTCTGGTGACTAGCTGAGAGCCACGCACAGAACATGTGCCAGTGTTTATTGACTGAGTGAAGGAAGGAAAGAAGGGCTCGATCTTGATCCAGTCTGGTTCCTCTTTCTTCTCCTGCAGTTGGTACCGATGGCATTGTCCTGGTTCAATTCCCTTTGGGCCATGGAACTTCTCCTGGCTTCCACCACCTTCTGCCTAGTATTCTGGGTGTTCAGAGCCTGGCAGCCTCGGGTCCCCAAAGGCTTGAAGAGTCCTCCAGGGCCCTGGGGCTGGCCCCTGCTTGGACACATGCTGACCTTGGGGAAGAACCCACACCTGGCGCTGTCACGACTGAGCCAGCGTTATGGGGACGTGCTAGAGATCCGCATTGGCTGCACACCTGTGCTGGTGCTCAGTGGCCTGGACACCATCCGGCAGGCTCTGGTGCGGCAGGGCGATGATTTCAAGGGCCGGCCTGACCTCTACAGCTTCACCCTGATCACTGATGGCCAGAGCATGGCCTTTAAGCCGGACTCTGGACCGGTGTGGGCTGCCCGCCGGCGCCTGGCCCAGAATGCCCTCAACAGGTTCTCCATTGCCTCAGACCCAGCTTCCTCATTTTCCTGCTACCTGGAGGAACATGTGAGCAAGGAGGCTGAGGTCCTCATCAGCAAGTTCCAGGAGCTGATGGCAGGGGCTGGCGCTTTGATCCCTATAATCAGGTGGTGGTGTCAGTGGCCAAAGTCATTGGTGTCATGTGTTTCGGGCAGCACTTGCCCCAGAGCAGTGAGGAGATGCTCAGCCTTGTGAAGAACAGCCATGAGTTTGTGTAGTCTGCCTCCACTGGGAACCCCGTGGACTTCTTCCCTATCCTTAAATACCTGCCCAACCCCACCCTGCAGAGTTTCAAGGCCTTCAACCAGAGGATCGTGCAGTTCCTGCAGATAATGATCCAGAAGCACTATCAGAACTTCGACAAGGTTAGCCCAGCACACAGGTAGTGAGAAGGCACTCTGCAGAGCCTGGGTGTGCTCTCTCTTACCCAGCTCCAAAGTACCCACACAGCTGATGTGTAGCCAAGGCCTAGGAAGGCTCTGGGACACCTGGGAATCAGCTATGTGAACTGAAGTTAATTATTCCTTCTCCCACTCTGGTCTCAGGTTCCTCATAACAATAGCCTCCTTCTCAGAGCAGCTCAAAGGGCAGAGAGAGAAGGTTTTTGTTCTGCAGGAACCTGAACCTTGACACTCAGCTCTGGTGTCACTTTGCTTCCCTTACTCACACTAACCTCCTCCTTTGAAATTGGACCCCTACGGTTATTGGGATGGTCAATGGGGCATGAAATGATACCTTAAGCCCTCCTGCTGTGAGCCTAACCCAATGACTGGAGGTTTTGGGGGAGGGAGCGAGTGCCAGATGGGTTGGGGGCAAGGTCCAGCCTTTGGCCCTGGACGTGCGGAGTGCCTGTAAACTTGTGATCCCTCGGGACAGTGTTCAGGATATCACAGGTGCCCTGTTCAAGCACGGCAAGAAGGACTCCAGACCCAGTGGTGGCTTCATCCCTGAGGGGAAGATTGTCAACCTTATCAACGACATTTTTGGGGCTGGTAAGAGCCAGGCCCCTGCCCCTCCATCCATCAGTGTTTGCTGTTCACCCACAGCACTTCCCAGTACCCAAGTCCATCAAATAATTATTGAACCACATGCCAGATGGTGCAGGACATAGAGATCTGGCCCATGTTCAGGGTTTGAGCCCAGGCTGTGCCACCAACTCCCAGGGGAAACTCAGCTAAGTCCTTCTCCTTCTCTGGATCTCAGTTTCCCCATTTGAACAATAAAGGGCTCTCTGGCCTATGAGTCTCAGCCCCTATAATTCCAGCAACTAATTATGAAACCAGTGACTCAAGGTTGGGGGCAGGAGGTCAAGAGAGGGAGACAGAGGAAGATAATGCTTATTACATACATGGTGGGTGCTTGGTAAATATTGGTTTCTTGTTCCTTCCTCACCTTGCCCCTCGCTGCCCAGGATTTGACTCGGTCACAACAGCCATCTCCTGGTGCCTTATGTACCTTGTGACAAATCCTGAGATACAGCTGAAGATCCAGGAGGAACTGGGAATGCATAGAGAAGCCTTGGGATCCCAGATCATTTGTTCAATCTATATACAGCTGTTACATGCAAACCTTGTGCATATAATGTTGTCCACCCTTGTCTAGGAGGTGCTGAGGGAGGTTTAGTGGGTCTCAACATGTAAATAGATATAGAGTGACGCCACATTGAGTGGCACTTGGTATAATAGGGGACACCATGGAGCAGTCAGGGCAACCCCTAAGCCCTGTCTGTCCGCTGTGCCCTGCAGACACAGTGGTTGGCAGGGCACGGTGTCCCTGGCTCTCTGACAGACCCCAGCTGCCTTATACGGAGGCCTTCATCCTGGAGACGTTCCGACACTCCTCCTTCGTCCCCATTCACCATCCCCCACAGGTGAGGCCTGCCTATTCTGCCCTCCCACCTCTCTTCCTAGTTTCTCAGCTCTGGCCCTGGCTCAGACCTCAGCCTCTCCTTCCTGACCATGACACAGGTTCCTCACAGGCTCTTGGCCTCTAGTCTACCCCTATTCTGTCCAAACACAATAAAACTACCCAGCTCTCAGGAGAAAATCACACTCCTGACCTCAGCGCTCATTCACCTCTGCTGCGTTCTCTCCCTTTAAGTACTCTCAATGTAACCAGTCTGGCCCTTTACAAGCATAATTTAGCCAGCCTCCAATTTTGCTTATGCTGGGCCTTCTGCTTGAAATGCCTTGTAATCTCTTCTCTGGCTACCAGAATCCTATCCCTGCCCAAGGTCAATCCTGACAAAACTTCCTCTCCTCTAGAACCTTTCTTGACTCATCTAGCTGAAACAGCTTCGTTTCTGAAATCTTGTAGGACTTACAGCCATTTGTCCTTGATTGTGTCCTGGGATTTTAACAATGTTAAGAGAGATAGTGAACACTTCCTCTGCCCTCATATTGATCTATTTATTCTCAGAGTGAGAGTCCTGACTCCTCAGCCAGGCTAGGAACTCCCCAGTACTCCAGAGAATGGCCAAGTGCATTAACTGGGCACAAACAGAAGTATAGTACACACTTGTTGAAGTGGAAAAACAGGAGCCAAGGAAGGGGAAGGATAATTTCCCCTCTTCCCTCCTTCTGACATTTCCTTCCAGTGGTGGGCAGGCTCTTGGGGTGCGGTAGAGGTAGGAGCAAGAAGCACCCAGAGATGTACCCCGGTTTTCCGGCTCCTGAGCCTGACAGAGCCCTCTTTCCTCTTCAGCACAACAAGGGACACAACACTGAGTGGCTTCTATATCCCCAAGGAACGTTATGTCTTCATAAACCAATGGCATGTCAATTATGATCAGTGAGTACACATCCCCCACTAAAATATGTATGCAGCTCAGCAGTCAAGAAGGCTGTTTGTCCCTCTAGGAAATGGTTATATAATAAAGGAATGGTGCCTCAATTGCTGTATAGTTTTCTCTAGGTGACAAAGTTTAGGTCTATGTTTTTCAAACTTCAGTGCAATAAGACTTAACCAGGGCCCTGGATAGGTGTGCTCAGTGGTTAGGGCATCAGCCTTCACACCAAAGGGCAGCCAGTTTGATTCCTGGTCAAGGGCATGTACCTGGGTTTCAGGGCTGATCCCTGTTCCTGGTTGGGTGCATGCAGGAGGCAACCAATCGATGTGAAACACATCAATGTTTCTCTCTCTCTCTCTTTCTCTCTCTCTCTCCTTCTCTCCCTCACTTCCACGCTCTCTAAAAATCAGTGGGAAAAAAATATTCTCAGGTGAGGATTAATAAAAAAAGAATTAACCAGGATGTCAGTTACAGATTATGGCATGCCATCCCCCAAGATTCCACTTTGGTAGCTAAGGTGGAATACTCAGGTGATTCTGATGTGAGTGGCTTAGGAACCTCTGTATGGAAAATCACACTTTAGTCTATAGGTAGGGGGACCACATAATTTACCATCCAAACAGGGATACTTCTGAGTGTGGGAGGCTATCAGTAATTACTCCACCTCGGCCAGGTGGCTCAGATGGTTGGAGCATCATCCCATCTACTGAGGTTGTGGGTTGATCCCTGGTCAGGGCACAAACAGGAATTGACAGTGGGTGCATGAATGGGTGGAACAACAAAAGTCAATGTTTTTCTCTCTTTCTCTCTCCCTTCCTCTCGCTCTCTTTAGAGTTAATTAATTTTTAAAAAAATTACTCCAAAACAATAAGCACAAATCAGGATATAATATGGGTTCCCCTTTTATATTAATTAGAATGAAGATAATTTAATATTAAAAAGCACTATTTTCAAGGCTGATCATTTTAGAAAGAGCTATGTAAAAGAAATAAGCATTAAAGTACAGTTTGGTCCCTTTCCCCCACTCTCCTCTTATTGCTATCTATTCTAACACTGGTGGTATCAACAGAAGTCTGTTCAGACATCTCCACCCAGGACTGTCCTCCCCGGGCTTCCCAGTCCAAAGATCCCAACTCCTCTGGTTCTCTTGCAGGAAGCTGTGGGGGGACCCATCTGAGTTCCGGCCAGAGAGATTCCTCACTGCTGATGGCACTACCATCAACAAGACCTTGAGTGAGAAGGTGATGCTCTTTGGCATGGGCAAGCGCCGGTGCATAGGAGAGATCCTGGCCAAGTGGGAGGTCTTCCTTTTTCTGGCCATTTTGCTGCAGCAGCTGGAGTTCAGTGTGCTACCAGGAGTGAAAGTGGACCTAACCCCCATCTACGGGTTGACCATGAGCATGCCCACTGTGAGCATGTCCAGGCAAAGCTACGCTTCTCCATCAAGTGAAGAAGACACCAGCACGCTGAGGCAGAAGGAAGGATGGCAGTCACCCATGGGCCTCGGCCCTTTTCCTTTCCTTCTCTTTTTTAATAACAGCTTTATTGACATATAATTCATGCAGGAGAAGAGAATTTCCCCCTTCTTCTCTTCTAGGCTCCTTGGCTGGTCTAAAAATTAAATTGACATAAGACGAATTAAGAGGAGAAAAACAAATTTAATTTTGTACATACAGTAGCCCATAGAAATATGAGACTCAAAGAAGTCACCAATGCAAGCAGCTTTTATACCTTTAAAGCAAATGAAGAGTTATTTGTACAGATTTGACAAAACAAAGGAGTTTGAGTTTGGGGTAGCAAATTAATAAAGAAGTAACAACGTTTGTTTATAAAGCCTTCTTAGCCTTGAATTCCCTATCTCTGGTAATAAGAATGGCTCCTACCCTCCTGATATAGGGAGTGTATCTTCACATAGAAGATTTATTTCCTGCTTTCAGGGAGACAAAGGAGGGGCAGAGAGGCCCTTTTTATTAGCTGTTTCTTAAATATCTTTAACTCAAAATAATCAATGTGCCAAAATGGAATGTTTTAGGGTGGCTTATTTTGCTCCCCATCATTCACATACCATAGAATTCACTCCCTAAAATGTACAGTCCGTGGCGCTCAGTATATTTGCAGAGCTGTGCTACCAGCCACCATCAGTTTTAGAACCTTCTCATCACCGGGGGGGGGGGGGGGGGGGAATACCCATTAACAGTCACTCCCTATTCCACCCTAACCCACCTTCCCTGCCCTATCAACCCCAGGAAATTACTACTTTTCTTTCTGTCTCTGTAGATTTGGCTACTCTGGACATTTCATATAGATGAAATTACACAGAAAGTGGTCTTTTGTGACTGGCTTCTTTACTTAACATGGTTTTAAGTTTCATCCATGTTGTAGCATGTATGGTTTCTTGAGTACTGAGACTGGGCTCATGTTTGTTTCCTCAGTCATTTAAGAGTAAATCTTTCCCTACTCTCTCTTATCTTTTTTCCTGTATGATCCAAGTCTTTGAACACTTAAAGGAAACAGGGAGGAAAGGACCCAGTCTTGTGGGCCAAACCCAGATGGCTGAATGGGGATCCCTCATGTCCCATCTTCAAAAAATAGAACATCTTACTTCTCACACAGTCCTGATTTGTTCATCCACAGCTAGGGGAGGATAAACTCCCCAGAAATGCTTGGGTTACATGCAAAAGTCCCAGGTCTCATCAAAGACACTATCAAAATTATGAAAAAATAAGGCACAGGATGGGAGAAAATATTTGCAATTAATATATCTAATAAGAGATTAATATCAAGAATATAATCAGGAACTCCTACAACTCAACAACAACAACAAAAACCCCAAAACCCAATTCAAAAGTGAGCAAAACACTGAATGAACAGTTCTCTAAAGTAGATATACAAATGGATAAGTACATTAGTTATTAGGGAAATGCAAATCAAAACCACAATGAGATACCATGTCACCTACTGGAATAGCTATTTTTAAAAACTGGATGATTATATTTAATCCCCAACATTTATAGGGAACTCATACAACTTAACAAAAGGAAGATAAACAATCCAATCAAAAAATGGGCAAAGGACCTAAATAGACACTTTTCAAAAGAGGACATTCAGAAAGCCAAGAGGAGAAACATCAATGATGAGAGAGAGGAGAAACCAAGATGGCGGCATAGGTAAACACTGGAGTTTGCTGCCTTGAACAACCACTTCAAAAATACAACTAAAAGCCGGAACGGACATCAACCAGAACCACAGGAAGGCTGGCTGAGTGGAAGTTCTACAACTAGGAGGAAAGAGAAAAACATACCGAGACTCAGAGGAGGCACAGTGCTGAAGTAAAATACTAAGGTGCGGAGTGCATGCGGAGCAGGCTGGCGGCTGAGGGCGTGGTTGTTGTTTTCAATCGGGAGGGAGTCTCAGGCTCTGAGCTCCAGCTCTGGGCAAGTCTCTAGGGACCCAGACTCATATGGGAGAAGCAGGACTATCTGGCATCGCTCAGAACCCTAGGGCAGCTTTCTCTCAGTGGGGCTTGCAGCGATTACTGGGACACTGAGAAGCAGAGCCTCTGAGGGCAAGACTGAGAGCAGCCATAATTGCTAACCCCGCCCTGTTGATCCCATGGGACCCACCCCACCCAAGCCCTGCAGGAAGACTTTTGCTGTATAGCCTCAGGCAAAGGCTAGATTAGCACCTCCTTAGAGATCCAGGAGCCAGGAAGCCCAGAGGTCAGAGTGGGACCATTCAGTTTGCAGCTCCATGGAACCATAAAAGACACACTCAGGGGGCAGACTCAGTTAGCACCAAAGACCCATCGAAGCAAGTCTACCCCCAGAGGGGTGTCTCCAGCACAGAAGTTCTCCCACTGCAGACACAGCTGATTCTCACAGCCAATTGGCCTGGAGGTCAATTCCTCACAGTGATAACTACAACAATCAAGGCTAAATTACAACAAGACTGTGCACAAAGCCCACAAGGGGGTGCACCAAGAGTGTCTACCTCAGGTAATTGGGACACTTAGCACAGAAAGGCACTCTATCGACACAGCAAAGCATAAAAAATGCCGAGACAAAAAAACAGGACACAAACGACAGAATGGGATGAAATCAAACTGCTGGATATAGAGTTCAAAACCACACTTTTAAGGTCTTTAAAGAACTGTCTAGAAGCCGCCGATACACTTAATAAGGCCTTTGAAAAGACTGGTGAGACCGCCGATAAATGTAGTGAGATATTCAAGAAGACTGGTGAGACCGCCGATAAATGTAGTGAGATCCTCAAGAAATCTAATGAGACCCTTGATGTTGTGATAAAGGCCCAACTAGAAATTAAGCATACACTGACTGAAATAAAGAACATTATACAGACTCCCAACAGCAGACCAGAGGATCGCAAGAATCAAGTTAAAGATTTGAAATACGAAGCAAAAAACACCCAACCAGAAAAGCAAAATGAAAAAAGAATCCAAAAATATGAAGATAGTGTAAGGAGCCTCTGGGACAGCTTCAAGCGTACCAACATCCGAATTATAGGGGTGCCAGAAGATGAGAGAGAGCAAGATATAGAAAACCTATTTGAAGAAATATGATAGAAAACTTCCCCTACCTGGTGAAAGAAATAGACTTACAAGTCCAGGAAGCACAGAGAACCCCAAATAAAAGGAATCCAAAGAGGACCACACCAAGACACATCATAATTAAAATGCTGAGAGCAAAAGACAACGAGAGAATCCTAAAAGCAGCAAGAGAAAGAAAATCAGTTACCTACAAGGGAATACCCATACGACTGTCAGCTGATTTCTCAACAGAAACTTTGCAGGCCAGAAGGGAGTGGCAAGAAATATTCAATGTGATGAATGCCAAGAACCTACAACCAAGACTACTTTATCCAGCAAAGCTATCATTCAGAAGTGAAGGCCAGATAAAGAGCTTCACAGATAAGAAAAAGCTAAAGGAGTTCATCACCACCAAACCAGTATTATTGAAATGCTGAAAGTTATCCTTTAAGAAGAGGAAGAAGAAGAAAAAGGTAAAGATACAAATTATGAACAACAAATACACATCTATCAACAAGTGAATCTAAAAATCAAGGGAATAAATAATCTGATGAATAGTATGAACTGGCGATTGTAATAGAATCAGGGACATAGAAAGGGAGTGGACTGACTATTCTTGGTGGGGGGAAGGGGTGTGGGGTGAGGGAAGAGATTGGACAATAATCGTGCACCTATGGATGAGAACAGTGGGTGGGGAGTGAGGGCGGAGGGTGGGGTGGGAACTGGGTGGAGGGTGGGGTGGGAACTGGGTGGAGGGGAGTTATGGGGGGGAAAAAGAGGAACAACTGTAATAATCTGTACAATAAAGATTTAATTTAAAAAAAAAAGAAAGAAAGCCAAGAGACATATGAAAACATGCTCAAAGTCACTAATCATCTGAGAGATGCAATTCAAAACAACAATGAGGTATCATCTCACACCTGTCAGAATGGCTATCATCAACAAATCCACAAACGACAAGTGCTGGAGAGGATGCGGAGAAAAGGGAACACTTGTGCACTGCTGGTGGGAATGCAGACTGGTGCAGCCACTATCGAAGACAGTATGGAGTTTCCTCAAAAAGTTAAAAATGGAACTTCCATTTGACCCAGTGATCCCACTTCTAGGAATATATCCCAAGAAACCAGAAACACCAATCAGAAAGGATATATGCATCCCTATGTTCATAGCAGCACAATTTACCATAGCGAAGATCTGGAAACAGCCTAAGTGCCCATCAGCAGATGAATGGGTTAGAAAACTGTGGTACATTTACACAATGGAATACAATGCTGCTGTAAAAAAAGAAGGAATTCTTACCATTTGCAACAGCATGGATGGAACTGGAGAGCATTTTGCGAAGTGAAACAAGCCAGTCAATGAAAGAAAAATACCACATGATCTCACTCATTTATGGATAATAAAGACCATTATAAACTGACTAGAGGCCCGGTGCACAAAAATTTGTGCACTCGGGGGGGAGGGGGGTCCCTCAGCCTGGCCTGTGCCCTCTCGCAGTCTGGGACCCCTCAGGAGATAACGACCTGCTGGCTTAGGCTTGCTCCTCGGTGGCAGAGGACAGGCCCAATCCCTAAGTGCAGCCCCTGGTCGGGCTCAGAGCAGGGCCGATTGGGGAGTTGGGGCGCCACCCCCTGTCATGCACAGAGCAGGGCTATCGGGAGATTGTGATGCCACCCTCAGTCACGCTCAGGGTAGGGCCGATTGGGGGGTTGGGGCACCGTCCCCTGTCACACTCAAGGCAGGGTCGATGGGGAGGTTGCGGCGCCACCTCCTGTCACGCACAGAGCAGGGCCAATCAGGGGATTGGGGCACTGCCCCCTGTCACTCACAGAGCAGGGCCCATCAGGGGGTTGGGACGCCGCCATTGTCACACTCAGGGCAGGGCTGATGGGGAGGTTATGGCTCTACCCCGTCACACACAGAGCAGGGCCCGTGGAGGGGGGGGTTGGGGCGCCGCACCCTGTCACACACAGAGCAGAGCCGATCAGGGGGTTGGGGCGCCGCACCCTGTCACACACAGAGCCGC